TGACAATGTTCTGGTAGGTAAGGCTAGCTGCAGCATTTGACATTTCTGGTAGGCGATGCTGGCTGCATCTCAGTGGTCGGAACCAGCCACGTTGCGACCCTGTATGGGTATCTGCTAGTGGGTTGTCTGGTGGCCGGAATCCGCTCTGTTGCTGGAGTAGCTTTATTCTATGAGGGAACTTGTGAGAACTTGCCAAGAATGTCTCCGATGGGCGGTGTTTGCTGCACCACGGCGGTTCGTCCTGACCATGCTGCAGCTTGTTTGAGATACCTGACAGAATTGTCGCCGATGGGCGACGGTAGTTGTCTTGAATCTCAATTGCCTGAAACTTTTAGGGGCGAAGCTCCTTAAGGCGTGGATCTGTCTATCCTCTGTCATTGTTGTACGTAGCCACCAGGATGTGAGATGGATGAGAGTGTTCAAGTTATGGGATACAATCAGAAATACAAAACTTTGCTTGTAGCCCTAAACAAACATCGATTCTATCAGGGAGATGGCAGTACTTGGAGTGTTCACTAGGCGGATGCACGGACGGACAGACTAGCAGACGGACGGACAGATGGACAGACGCGTGCAGCGGGTATGCGCACAGGGGATGCGAGATGGCGGTACTTGGAGTGTTCACTTGATGGACAGACGGACAGACTAGAAGACGGAGGGACAGATGGACGAACGCACGGATGTACAAACGGATGGACGCACGGGCAGATGCACGAATGGCCGCGCGGATGGACTGAAGCACGGACGTGCTGACGGACGCTTTGCCCCGCTCATCACCATTCACTCCGTGAATATGCCGTGATTTTTCAATGCGAAGATTGATGAGCGGTCTAAGGAATATTGCGGCAATGTATGAGAAGCTGGCTCAACAACCTCTGGTGTACGATACTGACTGCCCCTGTATGGTCGCATGACTGACAGGCACTGGTCCCGTCGTGATGTCGCGAGCAGTGGCGCATGTTTTTGCAGAGCAGTTGCTCCTACTGAAGGCCTGCTACAGTAGCGAAATGGTCTGATGGACGGTCAGATACATCCCTGATGGCCTCGTCCAATCATACGCATCAGCTTCATCTGTGGAGTGCAGACCGCACAGAAGACGGAACAACCAACCCTGGTCACACTGATGAACCTTGACGATGGGACGAGCCTCGGCTTTTGTTTGCGACGTTTCCAGCGCGTGGCTTTTCCCGCAGGCACACACGTGGGGCCTGTTGACAGACTGTGGGTGTTGACAGACGATTATGCACCAATGAGCCACCCTGCTCAGCGACCATAGCTTGGGAAAGAAGCTTCGGCCATAGGGGTGAGTCTTCCATGCCAGGGGCAGTGTTCCCCAGTAGGTCACAGGGTCCGCGTTCATGTGGTGACGGCTCTGATAGTCGAGGATGTTGCTCCTACGGGTCAAAATATAGCTCGTTTATTTATCTCCAGGGGCAGGTCGTATTCCTGGTATCGCAGTGCATCAAGTACCAGCGGTGTCAGGATTTGTGTTTGTCCAAATGATGCTAACCTGAGTGATGAGGCAGTAATGCAGCTTTTGGCTATGGTGCATTTAAGTCAGATACCATCACAATATCCGAAGCCTGAAGAGATGAACTGCAGTGCATGGCTGCAGCCTGGGGAAGGAACCCCTCCTGCGCTCTATCTTCGGTGAAGGCCGTATTGGACTCGCTGAAAGCACAGATTTGGCTGAAAGCGGCAATCAGGGATGCACTCCATTCCGCTCAGGAATGGTGTTTCACACCTTCATACGTGTGCCACGCTGCGGCACCATCCCTAAGGCGTTCGATGGCCACCCCCAATTTCTGCTGGCCCGACCAGGCCTTGTGAAATCCAAAAGCGCTAATGGTCGCCACCCGATCTTCGGCGTGGTCGTAAAAGCCGCGAAACTCCGAGATTTCACCAGCGGCTTGTGGAGGTGCGATCAAAAGCAAAAATCGAGAACTTGCCAATGCGAAGTAGCCCGGCTCGTCTGCGAGTTGCGCAAGGACATCCCGGAGCTCTCTGTGCTTCTCGAGTGGGCTGGTCTTTAGCTAGGCCCCGCAAGGCAGCTAAGTCGAGCATGGCGTTGGCGGCGCTCAATGCCAGCAAGACGGTAGGAAACAGCGCAGAGTGTGACGCCGTTAAGGCATTGACCATGGATTGTACGCTGCAGGTATGCGGCACTGTATGATGAGCCACATGTGGAACCGGTAGCAACACTGGTCAAAGAAGAGCTGACGGCTGGGCTCACTGAGGTGGGATCGTCGTCAAAGGGAGCTTGAACCGCAGCCCTTCTGAACAGCTCAGGTGCCGATGGAGTCCGGAGCGAGAGCTTGTCACCAAAAGAAGCAAGAACAGCCTACCCGGGAAATAAGAGGCTGTGCACCATCTTGGCGGCGCCAGGGCACGCCAAAGTACCCTAAACGGGGTCCCTTGGATGCCCACTCGTTGGAGGAGTCTTGGGCACGGGATTCATGTCATGGGAAGCGTATGTGACATTTCCGAACGATAGGACCTCGCACGCCTTATCACATGAAGGTAGAAGCAAGGTTCCTGACAAGTCGTACCCTGGAACCACTGAAGAGGCCTTCATGCCATTTGCGGATGATTCTGTGGGTAGCTGCTGCAGCGGTCGGGTCGTGAAGTCCATGATCAAGGTAGCATGGACGGCGTCCCGGATGGAGAGACCCGTACTGCTGTCCACCCACGAGGTACAAGGTACAGGTGGCTTCAACTGCAAGGTTCAGTCGTCGATCTGCAACATTGTAATGATTACCGAGACAGAGACAGAACCCTTGCTGCAGATGATTATGATGATGTTCCTCTTGCATTGGTGGCACTCGCTCACAAAGGGGGATCGGCCAAGAACTGGGCGGCAGGATCTTTGGTTTAGTTGGTTATGCATTTCAAAGCATGCAATGGAGTTTCAGTAAAACACAAAACAGATCATAAACGTATGAAAATGCTACACGAGCTAGTGGTCAGGCAATCGAATAGTCTCGCAGCAAAAAGCCGGCTGTAATGTCCAGAATGCATGATCCACCCAACTCATGGCCAATCCCCCTGAGCGAGTAGGTGCCAATTTTCCAAGGAGCATCATTATCACCATCATGCGCGTCTGTGCCAGAGTGCCAGTGTCGGTCTTCGATCAGGCTAATTATAACATCAAAATCTTAACGTGTACACATCATGAATGTCATGATTTACATGTCATGCTCTTGCAGTAGGTTCGTACACATTACATTGTGAAACTGGTATTGCATGACATGAGTGCATGGCGAACAGGCTGTAATGTTGAAATCATGACATGAATGCCATATAAGTCATGACTACACGCCACGCTTATGGTGCGCTCGCGATCGTTTCACTAGTTTCATATACCAATTTTGGCATTATGTGACGTGAATGGATGACAAACGTATAGGACTGGTAAAAACATAATAATCTTGACGTGCATCTCATGTAAGAACATGACTCAAAGCCAATCCTCCTGAGAAGGTAGGTGCCAATGTTGCAAGGAGCATCATCACCATCATGCGCTCGGGGCCGTTTCACTGGCTTCACATACACAAAATTTGGTATTACATGACGTGAACGGACGTCGAAAGCAAAGGACACGTCTGAACATGATAATCATGACATGCGTGTCATGCCAAACATGACTACATGCTACGCTCATAGTGCGCTCGTGGCCATTTGGCTAGCTTCCCGTATATCGAATTTGGTGTTACGTGATGTGAATGGATGACGAAGGTAAATGACTGGTGCAACCATGATAATCATAACATGCGTGTCATGTAAAAGATGACTATATGCTACACTCATAGCGGACTCATGGCCATTTTGCTAGCTTCACATATACCACAGTTGGTATTACACAACGTGAATAGATGACAAAGGTATATGACTAGTGAAAACATGATAATCATGACGTGCGTGTCATGTATAAACCTGACCACGGTCATGATGCGCTCGCGACTGTTTTGCTAGCTTCACATGTAATAAGTTGAATGTTATCAATACGTGACACAAATGGATGACAAAATATATGACATGTCCAAACAAGATAATCATGACATGGAGTCATAATTTACATCTGCCTCGTAGCATTTCGCTGATTTTAAGGTGACATCAACTTTTCTCATTCGTGCTTTGCATATCATCGATTCCCTCTGTATGTGGGATCTGCCAATTTTTTTCTGTCTGTTCCACATTATGAGAGGGTATAAAAGGGCACCACTTTTTCATACCCCTGCAAAGGCAGTTTACAAACGAAAAGAAAATGTAGGATAGTTGCACTATAAAACACATCGCAGCACATCCACGTAGTGAATGATGATGAGTGGGCGAAGCTCCAGAGGTACATCGGGAACTTCGTCTGTCCGTCCATCCAACTTCCCTCTTCCCTCTTCCGTTGTAACAATAACAGACCCTTTGTTATTCAAGACTGCAATTTCTCAGCAATGCTTGTAACTATACGCAGTTTCCATTATCTATCTTTGTCTTGTATGTGCTTGAATTCTTACTTATACATTTTTAGTTGACTTATGTTGCCTTCCTGATTTGCGCATCTGACACTTGTTTCTTTATTTTGTCTTTTTTTTTGTGTGTTATAAATGTTGTACCCACCCCCTCTGTAATGCCCTACGGGCCCTGAGGGTATTCTAATAAATAAATAAATAAACTCTGTCTGTGTGCCTCTTTGTCGAAACATCCCGAGTGTGGATATGCTGTGATGACAATGCGAACGCCATCTAGTGAAGATTTCGCATACTATGGGTGGCTACGACAAGCAACTACAGCAGACAAGCCTACGTTTTAGGGAGCTTCATCTCTAAAACACGTGCAAGATTATCTGAGATCTGCATACCTGATTATATAGCACAAGAAATCTGAGAAGGTATGAAGGCAAGCACCACGTTATCACTTATGCATTACCAACATGCCCAACTTCATACACTTGTCAACTACCTGCGTACCGCGAGCGTCACATGCCACATGTCACCGCAACATACACATTTGAACAGCTACATACAAAATTATTTTTTATTTCATGCACATGATGGGCACAGCTTGTTAAAGCCCCTAATAGATTGCAGGCTGGGCTTTTTTAATGACCCCAACAACGATGTCTGCCTGCAAGGTTTTGCAAAGCGTGTCAATTTCATAACCCTGCCTAAATTTAGCGCACCTTGGAAATCACTCGAAACACTCACAGAACACAGTTGGTATAGTGGGTGCTATGTGTTTCCTAAGTTTTCCAAAGAATTTCCAAGTTGCGCTAAATTTACTTACAATATGACTAGTTATCCAGCCAAATAACAAGTTTTACTAAGCTTGCCTCTATTGCCTTCACAATTAAAACGAAATCGTCATGGCCATTTTAACCAATGGCCACTCCCCTGTACAGGCAGTCTGGTCAACAAACACATAAACTCCACCTTTTAAATCTGCCACAACACAATATGACAGTGAGTCCTCCATTTGAAACACATTTATCGCCATGTTCTGAAATTCTCAGGAAGCCGAACTTCCCAGGACATGCTGTCCATGCAGCGGCTGCTCCTTCAGAAACCTGCGAGAAGACAGGCATCCATGTTTGCCTCCACACAAGCAACACAATTGTCATTTATGAGCACAAAAATTTTTTTGTCCCAATAGAGTGTGCTTCGGGCCCGTGAAAGAGACGACGAGACAGAGAAGCTCAGACGTCATGGTCGTGACATGAGCTCAGTTAGCCAGCTATTATACGCTTGCTTGTTTCAAGCCTTCTGCTCCCGCACGTTGGTGACCTCAGACATGATGTAGTGACGGCCGAACCGATGTAGAAAGCCAGAGCTCACAATCTTAGGGCCAGAGCCCAGGAAGCTTCAATGTGGTGACGGAGGGTGTTGCATTTTATTCGAAGTTCGGTGCTTTGACATCGAAAAGAAGCAAGAAGCCCCGCAATATACAGTTGCAATGCGGGAGGTCAGAAACGTGCGAGAACAGAAGGCTCAAAAGAAACAAACATTTAATAGCCGGGTGACTCAACTGATGTCATGGCCACCTTGTCCGAAGCGAAATTTGATATTGGACTTCTTGTTAAACAATCAGTGCAGTAACGATCTAAAAGAGAACAGGAACAAGAACATTCTCCCAAGTGAGGATTTCTTGATCAAATGTGTATGTATGTAAAGTTAAACCTGAATATATTAGAATTATCAAAATCTCGAAAAAGTTTGTTATAAAGAGGATTTCATTATATGTAGGTTCGATGTGGTACAAAACTGAGAAAAATAAACACACAAATTAAAGAAAAGGTCAGAGCTAGAAACTAGTATTTACCAAGCGGAACTAGTAGATACCAATCAGAAAGCTGATCACGTTGGAAATCCATCAGACTTCTCCCTAGAAAAATTGCCCGCCACTCTATCAAACATACCTTCCACACAACTTTTCAGACATACGAAATAGAACATCATGGCATTTCGGTCGAAATAAAAATAACTCAATTTAGTTAGAAAGTCAGAAATGCTGCTCATACTTCTTGCATAACTCCCACAGTTTTAAACTGGCAAGAAAACAATAAAAAAGACATAGTTTCGACAAACTAGTGAAGCAATGAATGCGATAGCAACATATTCGAATGTTTTACAAAGCAAGGCTAGCATTTTTAGGAGCAATACTAATTGTAGGAAACATGAACTTGCTAAGTAACCACATTTTCTGCGGCGCGGCCACAGTAGATGACCACGACAATGTTCGTGCATAGTGATGACATTCATTAGAAGCGCCTCCCGTGGACAGTGTATGCTGGTACTAAGGGCTATACGCTGTGTGAAACCGCTGGTGGCAGATTGTAATGTGTAGAGTGCATCTACACATGGATGGCCGCTCCAGGTACACTTTTGGCACCGTTTTTTCGTGTTGATAGCGCAGCCCATAGAAACTTCCGCCTGCTGTGGGAGCCGCACGGTGATTGTTGCCCCAATAATGTGGCAACCATAAGCCCTTCTCTTCCCTCCTTCCTCTTCCCCACCATTTTCAGTCACGAAATAAGCGTGCGCGCAGACGACCCTTGCCGGAAAGGCAATGTTCGCTCCGTAGAGAAAGGAGGCTAGCGCACCCTTCTTCGTATATTGCCACGTTCTATGTCTCAACTTTTCTTATCGCCCCAAAACACTACACAATTCTCAGCGCAAACCCCGCTTGCAGTTTTCGACAAGCTTCCGGACTTTAGTAGATCGTAGCCCAGATGATGGCGAGGCACTCCTTTTCTGTTGTGGAATAATTGGCTTCTGCTTTGGATAGTGACCGGCTGGCGTAACTAATAACCCTTTCAAGTCCGTCAGCCCTCTGCACAAGAACGGCGCCAAGAGCTACGCTGCTTGTGTCAGTGTGTATTTCTGTCTCGGCGAATTCGTCGAAATGGGCAAGTAACGGAGGCGCCTGGAGGCGATGTTTAAGCTCCTGGAAAGCGTGTTCCTGCGGCGCTTCCCACTTGAACTCCACGTCAACCTTCGTAAGGTTAGTGAGAAGATCGGCAATGCGGGCGAAGTTTTCTACGAACTGCCTATGATAGGCGCATAGGCCCAGAAATCAGCGCACCGCCTTCTAGTCAGTGGGGGGCGGGAAGTCGGCGATGGCAGCCGTTTTTCGTGGATCGGGACGAACTCCAGACTTGCTAATAATGTGCCCCAGAAACAAGAGCTTCTCGTACGCAAATCTGCACTTTTCTGGCTTCAGTGTAAGTTCGGACGTCTTGATGGCTTCAAGTACAGCTTCAAGGCGCCGAAGATGCTCGTCGAAACTCGAGGAAAACACGACGACGTCATCCAAATACACAAGACAAGTCTGCCACTTCAATCCTGCCAGTATTGTATCCATAATGCGTTGAAAAGTTGCAGGCGCTGAGCAAAGACCAAAGGGCATCACCTTAAACTCGAAGAGGCCATCCGGTGTTATAAACGCCGTCTTCTCTCGGTCTCTTTCGTCGACTTCGATTTGCAAATAGCCAGTCTTCAGGTCCATTGATGAAAAATACTTGGCGTTATGGAGCCGATCAAAGGCGTCGTCTATTCGTGGGAGAGGATACACGTCCTTTCTTGCGACTTTGTTCAGGCGGCGATAATCAACGCAGAAACGTAGGGTCCCATCCTTTTTCTTCACTAACACTACGGGGGACGCCCATGGACTCTTGGACGGCTGGATGATGTCATCCCGCAGCATCTCATCAACTTGTCTCTTCATGGCCTCACGTTCTCGCGTTGAAACCCTGTACGGACTCTGACGGAGTGATCTGGCATTTTCTTCGGTTATGATGCGATGTTTCGTGATAGGGGTCTGCCGAATCTTTTATGACGATGAAGAGCAATCTTCGTATTGCAGGAGCAGGGCCTTGAGCTGTTCTTGCTTATGGTTCGGAAGTCTGGGATTGACGTCGAAAGCTGTGGGAGGGGCTTGGTCCTCTGAGCAGGTTCCGCAGCATTGGTGAGGGCGAAAGCACTTGTGGCGTCCACAATTTCTTCGATGTATGCCACCGTTGTTCCTTTGTTCACATGTTTGTACTCATTGCTGAAATTCGTGAGCATAACCGTTGCTTTGCCTCCCCGCAGCTCTGCCATTCCTCTTGCGACGCAAATATTTCGGGTGACCAACAGATGCTGACTGCCTTCAACGACGCCTTCCAAGTCAGGTGATTTAGGAGCGCCGACTGAAATAATGACGCTGGAGCGAGGCTGAATGGTGACTTGTTCTTCCAGCACATTCAAGGCATGGTTTCCTGACGACGTGCGCGGCGGTAGTGCTTCTTCAGTGAATAACGTTATCGACTTTGCTCTTAGGTTGATGACAGCCCCATGGAGGCATAAGAAGTCCATACCAAGGATGACATCTCTCGAGCAACGCTGTAGGACTACAAAGTCTGTAGGATAAATACGGCCGTTAATGGTGACTCTCGCTGTGCACATTCCTGTAGGCGTTACGAGATGACCTCCGGCTGTGCGGATTTCAGGGCCTTCCCAAGCTGTCCTAACTTTTTTTAACTTCGTGGCGAACAACCCACTGATGACGGAATAGTCGGCTCCAGTATCGACGAGAGCGGTCACACTGTGGCCGTCGATAAAAGCGTCGAGGTCGCTAGTTCGCCGTCTCGCATTACAGTTAGGGCGTGGCGTCGGGTCACGGCTGCGTCAGCTTGTTCTGCTGCTTCCATTTTGCGTCGTCAGGCCTCCTTCAGTAAGTGAGCTTTCGCCGTCAGGGCTTTGCCAGGTTGGCATTGTGTTCGGAAAGCTCCGTCGCGTCGTCGTTGTCGTAAGAGGATCTTCGGTAGTTTGTCGCACAGCATCCGCACCTCCATCGGTTGCTGCCCTTAGTTTCCCAGATATGGGCTAGGAGACAGACCGGCCCCGCGTTGGGCCAGAGTATTGTCGGTGGTGCGGCGACATGTGCCGGCTGGGCGACGGCGAACTAGAAGGACTTCGTGGTGTCCGTTGAGTTCCTGTCAGGTAGTCGGCGATGTCACGTAGCCGTTCTGCTAGCTGTGGACGCGGTGCATTGAAGGGGAAGCCACACGGTCCCATCCGTCCGTACTGGCAACGGCGGTATGTGTGTCCGGCCTCGCCGCAGTGATAGCAGAGAGGGCGGTGGTCAGGGATGCGCCAGACGTCTGTCTTCCTCGGCGCACTGCGCTGGGCCGCTGGCGAACGGTAGGTCGTTGGTGGGGGTGGTGGCGGCGGTGGCGTCTGGTGACGGAAGTGCGATGGGGCGGCGTTCTGGCGTGCGCGTGGAGGAGGGGCGTGGCGGCGGGCTGCAGCATCATAGCTCATGGCTTGCAGCTGAGGCTTTTGAGACTGAGGAACGCCCAGCAATTGCTGGATCTCCTGGCGTACGACGTCCGCGATGGATTCCACGTGAGGCTGCGCTGAAGGAAGTAATTTTCGCAGCTCTTCTTGTACGATCGCTCAGATCGTCTCACGCAAGTCAGTGGTTCGAAGCCCTTGAATGCCGGCGTAGCTTGTAGACCAGAAGCTACGGTTATATTGCCACGTGCGCATCTAGAGCGTCTTCTCTATCGTAGATGCTTCTGAAATGAATTCGGCGACCGTCTTTGGTGGGTTTCTGATCAGCCCGGCGAAGAGTTCCTGCTTTACTCCTCGCATGAGCAGACGGACCTTCTTCTCCTCGGACATGTCGGAGTCAGCGTGGCGGAAAAGTTTTATCATGTCTTCCGTGAATAGCGCCACGTTTTCGTTAGGCATCTGCATGCGGGTTTCGAGAAGAGCCGCAGCCTTCTCCTTGCGCACCACACTTGCGAAAGTGGTGAGGAACCTGGCACGAACGACCTCCCACGTTGTAAGGCTTTGCTCTTGATTTTCGAACCAAGTCCGAGCAGCATCTTCTAAGGCGAAATACACATGCCGGAGCTTGTCATCGTCTGTCCAGTCATTGAAGGCGGCGACGCGGTCGAACCTTTCGATCCAGCTTTCCGGGTCTTCCAGTGGCGAACCGCGGAAAGTTGGCGGCTCTTTGGGTTGTCGGACAGGAGTTGTGCAGGCTGCACGGGGGCGGTCATGGTTGCAGTAGTTGATGTCG